GCAGGTCATACAAGCGACTAAAATCGACAGTATTGACCTTTTGGATGGTTTGGATCTATGCTGAATGGAGGAAAAAGAAAACAGCAACTGATCCGAAGCTGAGTCCCAAGCGAGTCCAAGAGTTTTGATGATGTCGCTACCATCATCAAACTTAAGAGAAGATTCTCAGTCCTCTTTGGGTATCCCTTTCAGTACAGCAGCATTGTTTGAACACCACTTTCGTAACTTGAAGCCCCCACTTGCTAAGTGGAGCAATCAAGCCCTAGCCGTCTGATTAACAATTTCCTTTGGTTCTTGAATTGAGTCACCCCCTGCAATGAGGTCATCAACGTGGAAGTCACACCGCAGAATCCGAGATCCAACTGGAAAATTAGTTTCCTCATCCATAGACAGCTGATGCATAACACGCATATAGAGGAATGAAGCTGGCTTTGTTCCGTATGTAGTATTCGAAGCGGACTTGTATGAATGTGTGTGTACATGTCCACAGAAATTCTTGGAATTTGCGCTTATTGCTGCTAACAAGTGCACTGTCAAAACACATCATTTTAGTATATTTCTTAACCGATCTTAATAAAATTTTCTACAGTACATCTTATTGTACCATAGAATATTTGTGTATTCTCAAAAAGACAATTGCATTTAAATTGTGGCCTAAATTGGTGGACAATACAAGTTGGGTTATTAACTGGATTTATAGCTCTGCGCTGGTAGCGGGGAGGTAGCGCTAGATATAAAATGAGAGAACTTTTTTTTTTTTTTTTTTTTTTTTTTTTTTTTGATATATATATATATATACTATTCTTAAATAAACATATCAAGTATTTTGACTCTAGCTCTTAATATTTACCCAATTTGCTCAAAAAACAGGATATCGATATAGATTTTTATCGATTGCTTGGAAACGAAGTAAGTTATCGATTATTGAAAATAAACTCGATCTGCGCAGGCACTAGGAGGAACTAAAGCTACAATTTCAAGTCTCTAGCTCTTATAGGTTCTGATATCCTTACGATCATACATACGGACGGACAGACAGACGGACATGGCTAAATCGACTCGGCTATTAATGCTGATCAAGAATATATAGGCTTTATGGGGTCGGATATGCTTCCTTCTGCCTGTTACATACATGTTCATTTGCACACAAACATTAGACCCTTTTTACCCATTTTCAATGGGTTCAGGGTATAATAAGACCCGGCACACGACTTGGTCTACAACAGAACATTGCAGGCCCTTCCTGAGAATGCGCCATTGCCACTGTATCGATGTTCCTCAAGCCTGAAAAGCCTAATAGCGACCCTGCGTTCTATCGGCCGATCAGTGTTCTGCCGTCGATCGCGATGGTTAGGGAGCGACTGGTCGCTTCAAAGATGATTCTTTTCGTGGAGTCCCGTGGACTCATTCCTAAATAACAATTTGGATCCGCGGGCCACAGCACTACCGAACAACTAAGCCGGCTTTCAAACTACATATTTCATATTTAATGCAGTTTTCATTTACATTGAGCATGATTTGGCCAGGTGAAGCTTCTGGGTCTCCTGGCCAAGGTAAAATCTTGTCTTCCCTCGATCGAACGATCCCTCAATGTCAAAGCGCGAAAGGGATTATCAGTCATATATCCCGTTCTGGCTTCTCGTTCTCCCTTCTCTCTGCTTTACAGCAGACATACCGGTCCCTGACGTGAACAAGTGGTGCATTGATCCCGGCAAAATGATGTCCACCTACGCTGATGTTGTCGGAATCTTTTTCAGCTTCCGTTGCGAGTACGAAGCTGCAGATGGTATTCAGGAGTTCCTTCACCTTCTAGACAACTGGCCTAAAGTGTGGAATATTGAAATAAATACCTCCAAATGCACTAACATGCGCTTTAATCTGAGGATAATTGCCCAACCAGCTGTGCAGCGGTATTGCCAGAGACCGTTCCACATGTCAACAAAGTGAAATATTTAGGTTTGCCTTTTGACTAGAGGCTAACTTTCATATCTCACATCAAGTCAGTGGTTAATAGTTGCCGTACCAAACATCTCCAGTCTGAATTGGATAAATTGCATTATTGTTCCCGTGTGGATGCACGGCATTCGGATCTTGGGAACTGCTGCCCAGACCCAACGAAAGAGAGTGCAAATCATGCAAAAAAAAAACCTTGCGCTTAAGCACCGACTATCCATGGTATGTCAGTAACTCAACTCTGCCTAAAGACCTGAATCTCGCGGTCGCCGAGGACCAGATCGCGTACACCTATGCGGCGGCTCAAAAAGTGGCACCTCAACCTTTTGCTTCGAGGGAATTTACGGCTCACTAGGCGACAACCAGGCCTCTTTAGGCCGTAATTTGCTTAACATCTTCTATAACTTCGCCTTTACATAACCACTATATTATATTAATAAATTAATGTTTGTTTATACAGTTTATCCTAAAGTTAAAAATTACTGCATTAACCTGGCCATACTTAAGACATAGATACTCAGGGCATTAGAGAGCATTACAAGACTGGATCTTGATAAAATAAAATAAAAAAAAATAAGCACCAAAGCTTACGTGTTCAATAATTTAGTCCATTGAGCTGATCAACAATTGATTAATATACATTTGTAACATCATTACTATTACTAAAGCACTGATAGTTTACGAGGCTAACCTCTATTTTGGTTGCAAATAGCGTCGCACCCGGAAGAAAATTTAATTCAGTTTTAAAATTAAAAAAAAAAAAATTATTAAAATTATAATAAATAAAAAGTCATTGTTTTGCGAAAATGTACAGATCCCCAACTGCCAGCGATAGAAGTCACTAAGACCTAGTGCTAGGCTGGTCAAAATAAACACACCAGAGGCTATTACCATAATAGAAACGGTGGCCAACTCCGCGCCTACATACAAGTCAACATTGTGTGAGTGTGTGAGTGTCACCTGTGCGTAACATATAAATATATTTACGTATAAGTGGGTATCACTCGTGCATAAGTTGACCAAAATCTAAACTTTTTAATTTCATTCTTTACTTGGCAGACGCAATAATCTTTGGGCCCTTTCCTTCCCGGTTCGCACTTTCGGAAATTTACTCAATTTAAACTAGTCGTGAGTATTTTTATGTATTTAATAACAAAAAAAAAACTGGAGTTAAAAATTACAAAAAAAAAATCGGTTCTCTTTCAGGGAGCACAATGAGGAGCTGCGTCTGACTCTGCCGTTTACTCAGGCGAGGAGGCACGAAATGGAACAGACTCACTCGGATGATATGAACGTGGTCTCGCCCGTGGCCGCCTCTTCATCGTGTGAGTCCCGTCCGTGATGGCTCGTCTCTCCGTCGTGTATTACGCCGATACTTGGCCGTGCTTTGAAAATCCGGCCCGTGAATATCTGGGTTGATCTGGCCAGCGTCCTCCTGCGCGGGATTCAAGCGTTGTGTGCCACAGAATGGCTGCGGCTGCTCTAATAGAGTATCGCTCTTATAGTGGTTTTAAATGACGACAGTGTGTTTCTTGTGTATTATTGTTTCGTGTATTATCGCTCATGTGCACTATTTCTTTTGCAATACGTTAGCACATAAGGAAGTATCTTGGCAATTAACTTATAAAGAAAGCCCGTCATGAACAAATGTATGCCCTTAGATTTTTTCTTTTTGGTTAAGCACATGCTCCGTGGCCGGCAAAAAAAAATATCCAACTTCGAAATTTTTAACTGTGAGCCGGTACGTCCGCTGTGGACCGCTGACAAAGTCGAACTCACCTGCTGTACATTGGGCAGCAACATCTAAGGTGACGAAATTCGGTACACGCATACATTTAAATATGGTTACCGTTGCTGCTCATCGGCACAGCTGCCCATTTTTTTTTTTTTTTTTTTTTTTTTTTTTTTTTTTTTTGGTGGGTCAACGGCTCGAAACACGGCCAAGGGCATATTCAAGGACATACGATCAACTCTGTCTTTTATCTCTTAGGGAACGAATCGTGCAGCCAATAGCAATCGCCTTTTTTGGCGTCGTGGATCGCAAGTCTGGTGTTGCCACTCCTCGATATTTTAAGCGCAGTTGTGTGTCCGGCTTCACCCCGATACTCTGCCCCTATGACCAAAGATATCGGCGCGGCCGATTATAAAGAACGCAACCAATTACGGGCAATATCGATGTTAGGCGCCTTGACTTCCTTGCATGTCACACACCGTCTCACCCAATCCCTTACCTGACTAACCATGCCGGGCCAGTAAAACCGCCTACGTAAGGTCTCGGGCGTTTTCACGACCCCATTTCCATTTCCGCTATAAGGTGTCGGCTACTACGTTCTCACTGCCTTTACGGTGCTCGATGGTAAAGTCGTAGCCTTGCAGCTGCAATGACCAGCGTGCTAGTCTCCCGCTTAAGTCCTTCATGGACATCAGCCATTTTAGGCTGGCGTGGTCCGTGATACAGGTAAAAGGCATCCCTTCTATATAGGGTCTGAACTTTATTATGGCCAGTATCGACGCTAAGCACTCCTTTTCAGTGACGGAATAATTCTGTTAGTGTTTGTTCAACTTGGCTGAAAAGAAGGCTATGGGTCGTTCCTGATCTTCAGTGTCTTTTTGGAATAACACCGCTCCCACACCAAACTGCAACGCATCGCACTGCATCCGCTATGCTCAAAAGACAAAAACCCCCGCATTACCGCCTCCAACTCTACCCTTTCCTCCCGAGACAACTCCCATGAATCTGTCTCATTTTCACCTTCTTCACCCTCTTCCGCATAATGTGTCATTGACACTGCCAAGAGCTCTTCCCCTTGGTGTTCAGTGGAGGTTTTCTCCTCGGGGCCCAAAATATCAGGGGCTAGGTTAAAAGCTCGCCAGAAATCAATTCCAAAATAGGCTCGCTGTTTCAGGTAGGGGCAGATAAGAAAACGTTACGTTTTTATGCTGCTCCCTGTACGAGATTAGGAGCTATACCCTACCTATGATTGATTTATCCTCTCCTCCAGCGGTCGTGACTGCCGAAACATACGGTTGCACCGTAACTCCTAATTCTTCTACTAATTCTCGACTTCTACTAATTCTTTTCCCAGCAGGCTAATCCAGGCTCCGGTGTCTAACAACCCTTTCATTTTGATCCACGCGACCTCCACTTCAGCGAATTCGCACGGTTCTTGGCTATTCTTCCGTTTCACAGCTTCGATGACCTGGCGCCTCGTCCTCTTGCGCCTGAGGAAGCGCGCCCGAGCCGTGAGCACTCTTCTAGTGGCAAATATCATCCCCTCCAGCTGTCGCTCACCAAAAATTCTATTCCGAGCCGACATGTATGTCCGGACACGTTCTTCATATGGTAAGCATTTTAATGGTTTTCCTTCATTTTTATCCTTATATATAACCTTATACTGTTCCTTATGGTCTATATTCTTCTCCTCTACAACTGTTATTGGTTTTGGTAGGTGTTCCTCTCTTGTTTTTCCGCGGTCGCCGTCCCTGAACGCGTCTGTCCCGCCATCAGCGCGCTCCTTCTTGTGTTTCCCGTTCAATTTTCGCATTGTGCACAGAATGTGTCCGGCTTTCCGCATCTGTAGCAGAAAATCTTCCGATCGTTAGAGAGGCAGTCCCTAAAGGCATGATCGAACTGTCTACAGTTCCAGCAAACTAGCCGAGATGATGCCCTGCCTCGTACGAATGCCTCCTCCAGTTCTCTAGGCGATGTTTCCGCCCGATGTGGTGGTACTTCAACTTCGTGAACGGTGGACCTCGATCCTTGTGAGTAACGCGACGGCTGCACGTACACGGTCCGGCTTTTGCGACCAATGTGCCTTTCCCCTTCTATGCATTCTTGGCGCAACTCGTCCACGGTTAGTACATCCATTGCATAGATGTATTTTGCCAGACCCTCCTTCAAGCAACGCTTTATAATATTTACCAGTTCGCGGTCTCTCAGCGTCGAATATAGTCGTCCACCCCTTCGCTGGTCTGTTGCTCTCGCTGTAGTAGCTCCTTCATCACGTCGTGCTCCGTCTGATATCCCCGGAGCCGGTCTAAAAGAGCGCGCCGCAGTTGCATCCAGCTATCGACCCTAGAATGCCGCACGTGCATCCAATACCACTCGCGGGCATGGCCGGTCAGGAGAAGGTGAAAACCGCGCAGGACCTCCTTCCAAGGGCATTGATGTTGCCTCTGCAGGAACTCCAGCCGAAACACGAAGTGCTCCACAGAATTCATGGCGTCCTCGCCATCGAACTTGACGTTCCACGGCTCGAGCTTCAGGTACGCTGCTTCTCGCACGTTGGCATACGCTTCCTCTGGCTGAAAGTCATCCGCTCTCCGGTCATCCACTCGGAAATGGCGATTATTCGGATTCCGCCAGTTCCTCGCATGAGCCTCGGCAACATATACTGGGCTGCTGGATGAGTACTCCGCTCCTCGCGCGCCCTGTCTGTGTGGCTTCGGTGGCACCGGTGGTGGAAATGGATCGCGCTGTACCCCTTCTCGTTCTTCCGGAATGGCGCCTGTTCGCGGTCCCGGCACGACAGGTCGCGAATGCTTCGGTGCAGCGTTATCCTCTTCGGCGTGGCTCCCTGGTGGCCTCAGAACATCCATGATGCCCTTCATCATCTGCATGAATCCTGTTCGCATCTCCTCACGGATGGATTCGCAAAGGCTAACCTATCTACGCACTGGACAGTGGACAGCATTTAAGCGTTCGTCAAATGCTCAGTTCGTCAGTTTAACTGAAGAACTGAATTCAAGGAACGCTACCTTGAAGGCCATTATGTTTATGTCGCACTTCTGGACACCTCCAGGACATGCTGTGTGACAGTTGCGGTGCAGGCTCGATTCTACATCGTCCTGGGTCACCTGGCTCCGAAGCTCATATAACCACGGCCAGCATACTCCAAACGTATACCCAGAGTGAGACAAAACAAATAGTACACAATAAGCAAACTCTAACAGACCCTACCCTTATATCACACTTTTATCACGAGATGCCTTTGTCATTGCGGCTACCACCAGGAGCATGATGAACGGTCACGAACGTTTCGCAAACATGCGAACGTGACTTATCGCCATCAACCACTACAAGAAAAACATCTCATGCTCATGGATATTCTGATAATCTCTACCTCTGTCGTGCTTCTGGGATTCCACGACCCGCTGCGCGATTATGGACCACCAACTCGTGCCATATAAGACTTTAGCGATGGGGATCCTAAGACCAAGGGAGTCCTTTTCCCTGTACCTTCATAAGTATCTTATTATTTTTATTTTTAATGTACGCACCGACTTCAAAGAAGCCGCGTACCTTTTCAAATTTTGGGCGCCATATTGTTACGGAACTGCTTGTTTCTCGGTGGGCCGCGCCGGCTGGCTCATCGGTTTCTCTGGGTGTAGTCCCATCCCTAGCCCGTAGTCCGCACAATTGATAACAACGAAGCTACACGTCTGTAGCAAAACAGACTTACACAACACTATGCAAAACGAACCACAAATCGATAACGTCAAACAATCGGAACTTCTAACAGATGAACAACGTAAACAGCTGTGACGATAAGTAAATGTAAGCAACAAAGATGGATGTTGATATAAACTAACAAAAACACTATTAATCCACTTTACTCTTCCAGATCGGGCCCCGGTTCCGGACCCAGGTGCTAATATCCATTGCTCTAAATATAAGAATAAACCAATTTATCGTATGCACCTGGTTTAAAATGCCGGAAATGTTCGCGGGTTCGAAATTATCAATAGCAGCTTGAAGATAACCAGCAGGGAAATAAGAAATAAGATTAAATGTAAATAACGATAAGAAATGCAACCAATTATAAACCGTATCTGAAGAGAGAAATGTCCGGCTAAATTTTCTTTGATGGGGAGAGTTGGCATAACAGCCGGCACAGGGTGACCATCTAATGGCCAAAAGTGGGCGACGAATAGGTGATCGTCTCATGGTTGGGCGGGTACGCTGGGTCCGGAACCGGGGCCCGATCTGGAAGAGTAAAGTGGATTAATAGCGTTTTTGTTAGTTTATATCAACATCTTATCTTTGTTGTTTACATTTACTTATCGTCACAGCTGCTTACGTTGTTCATCTGTTAGAAGTTCCGATTGCTTGACGTTTTCGATTTGTGGTTCGTTTTGCATAGTGTTGTGTAAGTCTGTTATGCTACAGACGTGTAGCTTCGTTGTTATCGATTGTGCGGACTGCGGGCCAGGGATGGGACTACACCCAGAGAAACCGATCAGACAGCCGGTGCGGCCACCGAGAAACAAGCAACGTAACAAAATGAAAAATTAAATATAGTAAAATATATCCCACAACATGCCGGCAAAGAAGAACACAATATCTCTTGGCGTCAGACAGGAATTGACGCCTACGATATTTTCAAGCCATACCATGGCAATAATATCAGGCAGCTTCAATTATAAACAACAAAGCACATCCTAAATGAAAAATAAAGAAGTGAAGCCCTGCAAACATTCGTCTTTGACGTCAAGAAATCCCTTAGGGATAAGGTCTTCCCAGCCCAACCAAAGAATTTTCCAACAGCCATGGCCCTTGCGCAGAAGGATAAGTGAGCTATGATCGATATGCGCTCACGGTAAATTATGCCAAATACAGTGAGGAAAATAACGATCTGGCCAATAACTAACCTTGACAAGTAGGTAGCTGAAAAAAATGCCCGTTTAGTCAGAAAAATAACACGTGGACACGTCGCCGCGCTACAGACAAGCAACACAATTAGAGAATTAACAATACCACCCAGGGTCAGGAGGAGACAAGTGACAGTTACGAGTCTGTAGCCCAAGCCGAAGCCCTTCGACCACAAGACGACTTGTCCGAAAGAGAAACATGCAATTTGGAGGTGCATCCCAGCTGCCTAAGTACAGTAGCAGGACAAACCATAAGGCTCCTCATCGACACAGGTGCTTCCAAAAATAATATTAGTCTGTCTCCAGCGCTGGCTCACTTTACACCTGCCGAAAAACCATTCAAAATAAAGTCAACACACGGTCACCCAACAGTAGAACAGAACTGCCCTATTGATTTATTTAATGTGAAAACTTATTTTTTCATCCTACATAACTTTAAAGACTACGGCGAAATTATCGGCCTCGATTTAACAAAAAAAAAAAAAAACGATGGATCATGAACACAGTTTAGAACCAATCCAATTTATAAATACATTTTATTAAAATCTATGATGATGAGTTACCCCCTCCACTCAAAAGAAACTTTTAGCAGCATGATCGTGCAAAGATCAAAGGCGGTCCTTGACTTATAGTATAAACTATATGTGTACCCAATGGGTGTAGCCGATTTTGTCAACTCAGAAGGCAAGCGACTTCTCGCAGATGGCATAATAAAGTTCTCCAGATCACCTTCCACCACACCTTTCTGGGTTGTTGCCAAAAAAGGTCTTGATGTGTTTGGCCACAAAAAACAGTTTGGTTAATGATTTTAGAAAACTAAGTGAAATAATTAGGAGGCTCTAGTCGGGAGTTCCCGAACCCTCTTTTAACAACACCAAACACGCTCGTTTACCTTAGCACTAATAAAAATAAATTAACAAAAAAGTAAATCTGAAAACAATATGAACGCAATTGCAATATTGTTGCAAGAATTCAAAGACGCGCATGAATGTGTGTGTAAATGTATACAAAAATGCTTGCAATTTGCGCTGGCTGCCGCAAGCACGAGAGCGGCCTAAACACGTTTTCTTTAATAAATTTTGTATTTCTTAACGGATCTTGATGAACGACATATATATATATATATATATATATATACTATTCTAAAAGCAACATATCAAGTTTGGTTACTCTAGCTCTTAAAATTATAAGATTGCTCAAAATTTGTACATCGATTCTTATCGATTACTTGAAAACGGTGCAACTTATCGATTATCGGAAACAAACGCGTACTGGGCACCTACATACCAAATTGCAGTCTCAAGCTCTTATAGGTTCTGATATCCTTGGGGACGGATGGGCAGACTTGCATGGCTTAATCGACTTAGCTGTTGACGCTGATCAAGAATATATATACTATATGGGATCGGAGATGCTTCTTTCTACCTGTTTAATTTGTACAAATACATTATACCCTTTCTACCCATTTTTAATGGTTTTAGGGTATAGAAAACTGTAGACGACAAATACCCTTGCCCACCATTTCGGCATAAGTGCTAATCAGTCCAGGAAGGTTCAGATTAATCTAAAGAGATATAAGCTTTCGACAAACTAAAAAGCATATCTGCTCCAAAAGATGCGCTCCTGACACACCCAGATTTTAAAAGACCATTTGACTTTACGACAAACGCTTCGGCACACGGCTTAGAGGCAGTGGTTGACCACGACGGTAGGCCAATGACAATGATCTTTCGGATTCTACGGTATTCTTTTAGGATCACATAAAGTGGATTCTAAATAGACTTCGAAAATATCGAACCACTGATTGACAGTAAGAATACGACACAGACACGCACGTAGCATTTTTCTAATAGAAACGGCACAAAAAAATTAGCAGGGATTAGATTTAAAGTCAACTAATAAAAAAGGAGAAAAATCGAAATCAATTAAAAAATCCAGAACCGCCACAACAAATTAACACAAAACCTGAACTTAATAAGCACAACAGATGAGCCGGACTCAGAGCACCTGTTCAACACAATGTTGGCAAAACTAAAATAATAATTATAAGATTAGAAAATGTAATACTTTCAATCATTCGTCATTTTAGACGAAATCGATAAAAAAAAACAAATATCTCATAAGGGTTAGCGCAGAGGATATCCTCAAAGTAGCAAAAATTTAAGTTTTTCAGAATAATTAAATTGTATACTACCTCATTAAATTCCCAAAACCAAAAACTGGTTGCAAAAAAAAATAAAATTAATCCGGTTCACCATAATAATAAAATATTATATCTAGAAAAAGTAAATAAAATTTACCATAAGCGATTGAGAAGCGACTGTGCCACCACTTCTGTAGTATATTGAAAAAACCTACCTGCCCCCAACAACTAACTACAGGAACCTTCGCGCAGTGCAACACCCAATCGGGTCAATTGGGTCCAATAGCCCAAATTGAAGGGGTTATTATTATTGACGAAGCCACTATCAGCATCATAAACAAGAACGGCCTCAACTAAACAATTTCGGGAACGTATCTTATTAGCCTTGACGAAAAGGTCTCCCTAAATGGGGCTCTGTTTGATAATTATAACAAGTCTCTAAGCAAAAACCAGCAGCATTCATCGTGACACAGGTCAACATTCCTGGGCCTCAAAATCATCTCAGCATGCCCTTCGTCCACGAGCTAAGTCTGAGAAATCTCCTGTACATCAGCAATATGAAGGGGGTTTAACCCGATCGGAATAAATAGCGTGACTCCATCACGCCTGCCTTGCGTGACTGTCAGTAGAAAATATGCTGACAAACAAAATTGCAACATACACACCAACCGCAAGATCAGCAGCTTCGGGGCTAGCGGCTGATTATAAATATAACAATTATTGAAAGAGTACTGAGAGTAAGCAGTTTCCTGTAGTGTGAGGGAATAAAAAAGAGCAACGATGCTGTTCTATCACACAAGTCATGTGTTTTACTTACTCTCTCGCTGTCTGAGCGTGCGAGTGTGTCTCAAACCCGAACAAAAACGAAGGCGACTTTGTTTTAGCTTTTAGTTTGTTTTTGAGTGGGAATATACCGACACCATCCTGCGCTTAATATATTAAACTAACTGAAAGGACAACATTTTTTGTAATTCATATTTAGTATTAAGATCATTTTGGTTTTCTTAATCTGCGAAATGCAAACAGAACAAATACTATTAAGTACAAAAATTATTTAATTTTAAAGGCAATAATCTGAAGAAAAAACCTGACGCACATTAATATTAATGCGTGAGTCGGTGATATAACTGTTAAACTTCATCCAAAAGCACGTATCAGTAACCTGGTCGTACAATTCAAAATTCATTGAACTGTTAAAGGTTTCCTTGCTTTTCCACTGAGGTATTGTAAGAAAATCATTCCATGGTTCTTTCTGTGATTTCATGACGCGTGGTATAGCATGATAACAAAGACGCGATTCCCTAGACATAATTAAAACATCTCCACTACGAAGAAACAAAGCACTAGGTTGCTCTTCTAGTGTGTTGTGACCTATAAGAAAAATAGCAGTTTGTCCGAAACTGCATTAAGAATTTAATGAGAGCTGTGTATTTTTAAGACTGTCTTAACCGGTACCTGTATGAAAATAGCGGTGCTTCATGATTCAACTCCGAATGATCAGTGTGACCAGATAAACAAGTGCCAATAGGATAGTAATTAATAATGCCGGCTTGCGGGATATAATTTGGAAAGCCTAAGACATAAGCAAAATATTGGGATAAGCTAAACAAGTCAATTGGGAACAATGTGTGCATCGCCTCATCGTAAGCTTTGGTGTCCCAGTTGTAATGATACCCCAATGTTGTCCAACGCATTGAAGTCTTAAGACGGTGAGCAACACTTTTCTCAGTGCACTTATGTAACTCGCTCCACCAGTCAGATACAGTATTAGATGAAAAATGTTTTGCATCCAAGTTCACGATGTTTGGTGCAAGAGGGTAATCACGCAGACTTCGAGCTATCCAATAACGCTGACCAATGAATGTAAATGGATTTCGGATGACCAAAAGACCAGGATGGTTTTTAAGCATATAGCACCGCCACATATGCAGTGGTCGCAAGCCAATTGGTATATTTAGGCATTCCCGCATATGTAATTCAGTGATGTTCATCGACTTCACCAACTGTGGTTATAGACATAAACAAACAATAAATATAAAAAATATAAATATTGAGCTTTTCTCGATTGAGAAGGATAAATAAAGAGGTTGAATCCATTCCTTATAGTTTATTTTAATATACTTAACATAAAAAGCAGCCACAAAGCTTATCTAACATATAATTTTAATCGTTAAGATGATTAATAAACTATTCACTTGGTCCCATAGCATTCATTTGTAGCATCGTTATTATTACTAAAGCACGCATAGTTTACGAAGCTGACCCCTATATATTGGCAGGAACGACTAGAGACGTTCCTGGAAGGCAGGAAGTTTGATATGGAAGTGAGGGAAGCCCACTCCAGAATGCGCTCTATAACCCAGCCTTGTCCGTGGCACATATAAAATAAATGTTCTTAAAAAGCTTTAAAAATGAAGAAACTGCTT